GGAGAGGCCATCGAGCGACCCCGCGGAGCAGTTTTCGGAGCACTTCCATAACCGAGGTTTCGCTGCCCTACTTATTAGGAAGTTTAGACATAACGAGTTTCACATTTCAAAGGTCGGTCACTTTTGTATCTCACCCCGGCGATAAATGTGAGAAATCTGTACGCTGTGAAAAATGTGCGTTTCAGGCACTGGCAGGACACAGCTGTCTGCCCTTGTTTACGTGGTTGCTCCTCTTCTCCATGCTCCGCACGGGGGATTTTGGAGCTATTACCCTTCCTCCCGCTTGCCCAGAGTCACAATTCCTTTATTCCCGACTGCCCTGAGCAACCCCACACACAGCCTAGGACATGGACCTGCCCAGCGCCCATCACCCGCCCTCCTGGCTGCTGCAGGAGCCTCCCTCCTGCCACAGCTTCCAAAGGGAGCTCCCAATTTACCACACAGCTTTGAGGAAGCACAGGGTTCAGAGGGCTAGAGAGCACAGCCAAGGGAGGAGGGAGCCTGGCAATCTGTTCCTGTTGACAAGTGGCTATTACCCCAAAATATCCAAGGAGAGGGTCAGGTGACTGAGGACTAGAGCAAAGAGCCGCCTTCGCCAACAAATGCCGCACTCGGCTCCAGCCCCTCTCCAGGCTCCTCTCAGAGCCACTTTCTGAAGTCACTGAGACGACTCAGTTACTTCTAAGGAAGGCTTTTGGCCTTCATCTCTGATGTCTATCAAGGTAATTGCCTCAAGCCAACAGGCGAGTCATAGATTAGGAGGAGGAGTTTCTCTTCACCAATTATTTCATGAATTAGTGTGCAAGCAAACAATGAAAAGCAAGGGACTTGACTCAATCCATGCTTTGGCTCTTCAGGATAAATAATGTGCATTTTGCCTTGGCTTTCATGCTGCAGCCAGGCTTTGCTGGGGTCCCCCCGGGGTGCCTGACACCCACTGCAGTCAGTAGGGGTTGGGCGCTTAGACACAAAAATCAGAGGCAGAGCTTCAAGGGCTCCTTTGTAGGACTTGAATTTTCTCTTAGCTTAAATTCCTTAGGAATGTTTAGATCGGAAAACCAAAGCAGTTTGGGAGCATATATTAACAGAAAATAAAAAGGCTGGAGAAATAGAAAGTGAAAGCATCCATCGAGGGAGACTTGCAGGAGCTGTTCTTTTGCAGTCTCTTGATGGGATCCATCATCTCCTGTTCCTGCGCCAACCCTGAAGGCCTCTCAGTGAGCACCAAACGCAGGAGCACTCGCTTTAAGGCAGCCACTGAGCCACCCTCCTGCTCTGTCGGCGGCCTGGCTGCCCCCATCTGTCATGCTGAGCATCTCTATCTTCGTGCACAGCCACATGGTGCCCTTGTAGGTCAGTGCAGAAGGCTGGACTTGATGATCTACACGTGGACTCCATGATCTTGAATGTCTTTTCCAACCATAATGATTCTATGATTCTAAGGGAGCCCCAGGCCACAGCTGGATGGTCCCTCTGTGCAGAAGAAACCAAAAGGCCTTTGGGCCAGCAGCTGGGCTCAGGGGGCTAGCGGGCCTGGCAGGAGGCCCGCGGGCACCTCAGGAAGGGAAGTGGGGAGCTACCGACTCAAGGAAACATCCACCCATGGGGTGAGCACGGGGAGGATTCCCCGCCTGAAGCCCATGGATGGATGAATCCCTTGGACCGAATGGGGAGAGGAGCACAGCATGCAGCTCAGGGTCGGTAGCCTGAGGGAAAACGTAAATAAAAAACGCTCCGTGGTCTCCTGTGAGCTCCTCTCTGCCAACCGTGCTCCCCACACCAGCTGTGGCCAGCTGTGAGGCTGCCACCCCAGGCGGGGCTGCCCAGGGCGGCAGCGGGGCCGCGCTGCTGGACCCCACAGACCACCCAGGGGAGCAAGGCGAGGCCAGGGAAGAGCCCGTGAGGGCAGGAGAGTGGGAAGGCGTGAGCTGCCTGCGGCCACCAGGTCTGAGCTGCCTGCGGCCACCAGGTCTACCTGTGCCCCAGGAACACCCTGAATTACCCCAAAACACAGCCAGAAAGCTGAGCAGTACCTACGCACATTTTTTGCAAACAGTAGAAATGACTATTCCTGATGGAAGAGGAAGACTAATCTATTGTCTACATGGATAATACATGGTAGGGCTTTATTTTTTTTTCTTTTTTCCATAAAGAAAGGGGAGGAAGGAAATATCAGCCCTTCAAGACAGGCTTTCCTTGGACTAAGCCTAAAAATCAGCTTTGCATGTTTTCTAACAATAGCAACACAGCTCCAGAAAGTATTAAATCTCTTTCTTCCTTGAGACAATATTTTCCTGACATTATATTTAAGAGGTTTTTGCTAGGTTCCTTTGTTAGTTTTGTGGCCACCTGTGGACCTTTTGATGCAAGATTGAATAATTTATTTCACGGCAGATTTCTGCTTGGTTTCTTAATGAAAGATAAAAGAGGCTCTCCACAGAATATGAAGTGCAGCTGCTTGCTTCATTCAGAGTATAAGCTAAGAAAGTACATTTTTCAGAAGTAAAATTGAATTTTGTTTTTAAGATTGCATGGAATTATGCCCTTCCCTACAGTGAATGAGTGATAGGAAACTTCAGGCCAGGGGAGGGTGGTCTGTGTCATGTTGATCTGACACTGTGAGACACCACTTCACACACCCACTGATGTGCAAGATCCCTGCATGCCATTAATACTAAGACAGGTATTAGGCATTTCAGGAGAGATGGAGCTCGGTTTTCTAGACCATCGTCCTCTTGCACATTGGTGGAGCATCGCCCTCTTTAAATGAATGTGATTTACCCAGACGCTAAAGCCTCGTTTTGGGTCCCACTGATTCTTTCTGAACAGGCAATATTTGACCACAACAGCCTATCTCTCACAATAGCCCTAATTTTATCCTTGGTTCTTCCTAATCCACAGGCTAAAGGGGGTTTGCGTGTGTCCATAAGGAGTCTTCCACTTCTTCATCATTCCAGATATCCACGGTTTGCAGCACATTTTCATTTGTGGGAGCTTTCCTTACAGACATCCTACAATTAAGAGCTGGTTGTCCTGTAAGACAACAGCCGGTTGGTAAAAGCACAACCCTCAGGTGGCAACCTGGCCCCGCGTGGCTGAGGTGGCTACAGGCAGACATCCCACACACGTGACGCTTCCACTCGCTCCTCGCTCTCGGGAAAGGTGCTTCTCCAAACTATTGACCTTTTTGCAACTCCTAAAACGTCTGCAAGCCCCGGAGAGGTGTCTGTTACCAGCATGTGACTCACCGGCATTGCTCTGCGTGCTTCGCAGGCGGTCGCTTGCCAAGGCCAGCGCTGCACACACTGAAATGCAGCAGGATCTCCGGCTTGGCTCGTCTGGAACCATCACCTGAAGTGGTCTGTGCTGCACGAGGGGCTGCATGTGAGCAGCATGCTCAGGAGCCAGCTCTGCGAGGGGTGAGCCCCGCAGCGAAGCAGCCGTGTGTGACACAGTGAATTACCCCCAGGGGAAACGCCACTTCCAGGCCTCTCGCAGCCAACACCACAAACACGAATGGCAAATTCACCGTTCTCTCCATGCTAGCGAAGCGCAGGTCCCTTCCCACCCAGAGTACTTGGCACGGGAGATGTTCCCGAGTGCCCCCAAGGAATCATCTTGCCCTCCCAGCTCTTTGATGGGGGCTAGAAAAGTTTTGGACGACAATTGGAGAAGTACAAAGGGCTGGAAACGTTTCATGGTAGAAAGAGCTAGATGTAGTGCCTGATTTGTTACCTCTGAAACTCATGAAGGCTCCACCTGGCTATTTCTGGACCCATGTGACCGCAAATATTAAGGGATGAGTCATGAATTTTCATGCTGGGCAGTGGGGACCAAAGGCATCAGGAGCACATTCCTCGATATTGCTTTCTGAATATTGTGAAATGCACCTCACACATTGCGTGACAGGGGTTTGCGGTGGGTTCTTACCAGCTCTGCTAAATTTGTCTCCAAGAGAGCAGAATTCCCCTGTGGAGCGACAGCGCGAGGCCCTACAATGTCACAGAGTCACCACGTGATTTTAGGGCCAAATCTCCACGTGCCTGCTCAGTCCTCGTGCGAGCCCACTGAGCACAACAAGGGCTTTGCCAGGAAATAAAGAAAGAAAGAAATAAAAGACAAAGGTGTTGAAACATCATTTTACTCCTCCAGGTATCAGAGGAAACTGCCCATAGCCTCAAAGGCAGGGAGGGAGGGTTGGACCCTGCCAATTCTTACTCCTCCGAGCGCAGCCCCCGCTAAGACTCGCTGGCGGTGGGAGAGACGGGCCCCACAGCCTTCACCTCGCTGCATCACCTGGTGACAGGGCCTTGGGAGCGAGACACGAGGCCGGGCCCGGCGTTAAAGAACCACCCGGCCAGGCTGCTCTGTTGCAAGAGGTTTTATTGGCGACGGGGGCCCCGACGGGGCGGCCCCGGGAAGCGCTTGCAGGGAAACCAGGGCCGGGGGGCGGGCAGGGGTCGCCGCCCCCCCGGGCCCCTCATAGCGCCTGGTAGGTCCGTGGGGGCGGCGGCGTCG